CCCTACACGTAGAAATGGACTAAGCTTACTTGTGGCACTTTCTTGGATGTAACTGTTGGTTATGTCTCTTAATATTTTGTAGAAAAACAGTACACAGTGAACACCAGAAGTGCGAAGATCAACACTATTTCCAAGCAAGTCAACATAGAAAAGAGCTGTCACAATGAGGATGAAAAGGGCTGAGAATGAGAAAAAGAAAGACTTGCCACTGCTTTAGTCAATTCATACTTTCAGACTTTTAGAATAAACTTCATAGGCTTGCTAATAAAGATTCTGGTATTTACGAAGAAGCGAAATTGCTAAAGTGGAACTAAGCAGCAGTACAGACAAAAAAGTCATCAACTGGTAAGATATCAGATGATCCAGAGGAGGTCACAAAGAAATGAACATCCCTGAGATTGCTAAACTGTGGCCAACTCCTCTCCTACAGAGGCCAACTTTGTTTAAAATTCTCCCAGATTGACTGAGATAATACTTATCTTGAAAAAGGAGATGAGAATATCAGCTAAGACAGTCAGCTGTCTGGGTTGTGTTTGGACAGATCATAAATCTGCTCAGCTTCACAGAAAGCTTATCTGAAACTCAAGTTTCTCCCCAATTTTTGCATGTTCATGACAGTAAGACAATAAAGTTATTTTGACAAAGGAGTATCTATCAGGAAGTGGAAAAGCCCCTAATGTAGCTCGGGTTTAATATTATACATTTCAGTACAAAAGAATGTAAAATAATAAAACTGATTATCAGATGTTTGATTTTAATTATTAAGCACAACACAGAGAAAAACACTAATGAATTATATTAACTTCTGTTATAAATGACCTGTATGTGCTTTCTCTGTTATTGAGCTTTCCAGAAAAAGGTTAGTCTTTTGCTAGCTATACATCACAGCTGCTTTCTCACATTTCTCAGAAAATAAACTTTGTACTCTGACAGGTGAAGACTCAAGCATGTACCAGGCTGCCAAATTCAATCAGCCAGAACTATAAGCAGCCTCCCTTCAGGGCTGCTTCTTTGAATTAAAAGTTTGCAGAGGTCAACAACCTTTCTGCCCCAGGTTTTGTTGTAAGCTGAGGAGGTTTTATACCAGCCTGTCAGCCTACTCAACTGGAAGTTATTAGTGTTCTCCGCTACAAAAGAAACTTAACTCAAGCTTTAAACATTTTATAGGGTTAACAACTGCTGGGGAATCCCACGAATGAAATTAGCCAATGTGCAAAACCAAAAGAAATCTATCAGCAATATTCAAACCACTTAACAGATTGGTAAAAGATCCACTGAATTACAGCCCTCAGTCTCAATGAAAACATAGTTTGTTTTTGAACTGTATTTAGATGATGGATGTAGTTAGCATCTGGAGCAACGTAGTCACATTTTATATGAAGTTATTTAAACAGAAAATCCACTCATACCTGTTACCTGAAAGGTAAGACTACATCGCTCAGTTTTTCCACATTTTCATGCACAGAAAAATATTACATACAGCAAGTTGAAGAGTGTATTTCTTTTCCTTCTTAAAATCTTCAGCAAGAAATAGATGTTTGAAACTGTTCTAGCCCCGCCCTGCCCCCCCCCCCCTTAGGAAACTCAAACATGATCTCTATAATCCACTCTCAGGGAGTACCTGTATCTTCCCAAATTAACAATGAACGCCAACCCAAGCAAAAGTATGGAAAGGGAGAAAAGGCACCATCTCTAGCCTTTTCTGAATAAAACTACTGCTGGAACTGAAAGTTAGAAACTGGGCCAAAAGAAGTTGTTCAAGCATGTAAATCCAAGGGAACTCAACTCAGAAGTACGCAAAGCTTTCCAAACAGAGAAAGTACTTTCTTTAGTTCTTGTGACGGAGAAAAAAAGAATAGTTCTGTTCAAATCAACAAAGCACACCCATTAACTGTCATTCCAACTATACTGCACGTGACTGAGAATCAATTTTTCCTAGGAATACAGGACTGATACTTACACAGCCTCCAGCAAGGATCTCTGCAGGGAGTGGAATGGAACCATCTTTCTTAGTAAATTTGTCTCTGACAAAGTCATTAACCTAATAAAGATACAATACATTACATACAATTTTAAGTTATTTTTCTTCCTTATTAACATATATCAAGTACATATGGTTACAGATATATTAGAGTGCTTGTAAGCGGTCATCTTTCACACATTTTAGGAACTAAATCCTGTGTATGTTAACAAACAAAAGGATGGCAGAAAAAAAAAAAAAAGATACGTACAGTTAGCTTAATAGCCTTTTCTGGAGCAACACCTATCAGCTGTGGTAACAAGCCTATAGAAACAAAGACATCATAAGGCAACATTATCTTCCTAGTAGAGAAACTAGCATTTTATAAGAGCTCTACAGAAATGCCTTTCTGCACATAGGATATCCTTTGAGGTAGATGGCATTTAAACATGTGATGCTGCTAGAACACTGCATATTCATACCAATACAATTTTATATTAAGATTTCTGTTGAAAATGGTAATGAAAAGGGTGACCAGATCTGCCTTCCACAACCAAGCCAAGCCTGATGCTGTTGCTGTACAGAAGGAAAAAAAAGAGTAAAGACTGAACATGCACCTTGGATAAGTCTACTACGTAAGAATTCATTTGACTTTTTTAGCCCCTTAATATCATTTTCCCCATAAAGGTTGCAATTACTTTTTAAAACAGGAGAGTAATTGTGAGATACACACATGACTATGATAAATTATCAACTCACTTCTACCTGACTCACTAACCTGAGTTTTCTGAAGGCTCCAGTCAACTAAGGATATAAAGGATTTTCTCTTGTTCAGTCCAACATGGTAGCATGAACTTCTTTAAACCCTATTACTATTAAGTATTTTTTATCTCAGCAAGAGGAAGCATTAGTGGACAGAAACAGATTTTGAAAAGTCCCTTGCTCCTGGAAAATAGCTACTATCAGAAAGAACTGCCATTTGACAAAAGCACACACACTTTTCTAGGAACTAATAGGTTTAAGAAAAAAATCAGTAGATGGCAGTCTTAACTTCCTAACATACAAGTCTATAACAGCGTCTACTATTTTTAAATCCATATGTATAGATTATAAAACTTAAAAGACTTCTTTTTATTAGAAGTGGTCACTTCCTAATGTTATTCCATGGTTATGGAACATCAGTTTGTCAAAAGTGTTTGCCAGTTAACTAACAAAAAAATCCCATGCTAATTATATCTGTATCGATGGAGCTTTCCACTATCCATTAAGTGAAAAGAATAATAGTTAAAAATTAATTTAAAATGTTCAAATTCCTAAAGTACTCAGCCTGCATAATTTTTATACTACTTCCTTAAAAGGAAGCCCCGAGCAAATGTACCTAAATAGAAAGTGCAGCAGTTAATATATGCAGTGTAGTGTTTTCTTCCAACATAGTATTTTCTGTGTGATTTACAGACTTACTATGCTGACGAAAGGTAGTTATTAAATACAAAGAAAGGTTGACAATAACAAAAGGAAATGCTGCCCTCCCAGCCTGAATCTCTGATCCACCATGAAAAGAAAATCCAGCTCTGCAGTGCCTACGCTTTAAAAACCCAAAACTACCAGACAAAACACCACAAGACAATTCCCCCCCCCGCCCCCCTCAACTCCCTTTTATGCAGCTGAACTCCTTGGGCGCACTCCTTCAGTGTGCCAGAGAAACCAGGACCCTGCACAGTCTAGTGAGGGACCTCAGAAAATACTTCATTAGTTCTGAAGTTGGATGCCAGGATTCAAAAGTGTCATTATTTTCTTGACCAAAAATTGTAAGGTTTTTTTTTTAAATATGAACTTTCCACTATGCATTCAGTTCTATTTTTTAAGCTGCAGTAAATATTATATTACAATACAATTAGGATAATCCAGCTCAGGAATATAAGAACCCAGTAAGAGACCCACAGTCAACTGCATAAATGTTTCTGTTGTTTAGTTTAATCTGCTTCCACAGACCACCTAATTCTATGAGTCCAAGATCTTAGTAACATGTTGACCATTAAATGCAATATTTTCAAACAAATACATGAACTTCTTACACTAAATAATCTTAAAGACAATTATTAGACTATCAAAAAGTTTAAGAAACTGACATTCTTTCAAACAAGGACATTTTTTCTCAAGTGTAAAGCATTGCTTTTAACTCATCAATGGAATCATCCTTGACTTCAAAGTGTTTGAGAAAGGTTACAAAACAAAAATAAATATAACAAATGATCAGTTTTAGAAGCTGCTGTGCAAAACCATGCAGACTGGGGGGAGGCAGGAAGAGAAAGAAAACAATACTGTAGAATGGCACTGTAGAAATAGTCTCATAAATGTAACTCAAGGAGTATTTGCTTTTGTGAAAGATCTATCAACAAAAAAAAAAAAACAAACCCACAATTTACCAGTAAGACATAATTTATGGAGATTATAGCTATTTCATTAACATTTTCAGTGATATATTCCTCCCTCTACTCACTTGCATAGCAAAATCCTGCAAGACTACAAAAAAACTCTTTAGCCAGAATCCACAGACTTTCACATGCAAAAACTTCTCAGATACTGTCCTTAAAGGACACTGTCCAGTGTCTTCATTGACAGAACACACTGTAAAGCAGAAAAAAAGGCTGTGGCCATCACAGGAGAGGGTCTTTGCTCCAACTAAAAGAAAAGTGCGCCAATTAATAAATACCTTACTGATCCTTATGAAAATTGTGAACTTCATTAAGTTATGTGAAATGACATTCAAAAATAAAGAATTCAGCTAAATACTGATTTCAGAAGACTGGTTAGCATGTACCTTCTATGCAAGTCACCTTATTGACGTAATGATAAAAACCCTTTCAGAATCTTCTCCTAAACTAAAACAAGATATAAGATAGCTTTCAGTCTGATAAAACTGGTAAAAAGCTGCTTTGAAGTCTTAATCTGTATTTTAGAGGAGGTTTTTTTCTTTTTTTAAATTACAACTTTCATGAGTTCCACTGTTGATATTTTAAAGTAAAATAGAGCAACACAATACAACAAACAGCAGGATGCAATTTCTTGTCCACAGGATAAAATCATAAAACAAGTCCCACTACCTGCAAAAGTATGAAGCATAAGATCTGGCATCCAGTTTAACAGGTACATTTCAAAATGACTGTCTTTTGTCTCTTAACAAAAAAATATTTGCAGTAAAATGGCTTTTTATTCCTTAGATGCTAATCTGCTCCTGATGTCTGTCCCCAGCCAAAAGTTACAATCCTCAATTTGCGAGATAACAATCATGTCCACAACACTGACACCCCAGAAATTAGGACTTTAAACAACCTAAGCAGCAAGGAGCAAATCAGTAACAACAAAAACATGCCTAGTTTTTCCCAGTAGTTTTTTATGATGAACAGTCCTCAAGGGAAGATAAATATTGAGCTCTATGAAATGGAAGCAAAATTGTACACAGTATCAAGTTTCCTGGTTTTCCCATAAGAAACTAGCTGTTGAGGTATAAAAAAAAACAAAACAAAACAAAGGGGCAGAAAATCCCCGACTTGATATATCTATTTTTATTCACTTACCTCTGTAAAGACCAAAAAAGCCTTCAAAACGCAAAACCTTTTTAAAGCAGTCAAAGCTGTTTTTGTACATCAACTCTCCTACGACTGAACCAGAGGAGCGTTGATTCTGCATACGAGTTTTCACCAGGTCTATGGGATATACCGCAGTAGCACCAACAGCTGTAAGAAACCATTTGGAGTATTATTTCTGCAACATCATTGTTGGTATAGTATACAATTATTATGATGATTTTCATCTCAAGGAGAATGGATTACACTATTACATAAAACAAGGTGTGTAGAACAAAGAAAACCAATCTGAATTACCAGTAAGGAAATTCGTTACTGGAGTGGAGTTTCAGAGGACTGTGGAGGGATACTAGAACAGAAGAGATAAGGAAAGAAAGGGAATGGTACAACCAAAAGTGGTTCCTCCCCTCCAGTTCTTCATGTGTATAACCAAGAAATGCACCTTAGTGAAACCAAGTAGTCTGGCAAAGACAGTGTTAAACTAACCCAAGCTTGAAACCAGAAACATTACTCACCTCCAGCAATTGAGCCCAAAGTGAACCTGTAAGCTGACTCAGCTACCTGGAGCCAGATAGGTCTGCTTAACTCTCCAAAAGATTGCTGTGTGTGCAAAAGAAAAGAAAAGAAAAGAAAAGAAAAGAAAAGCCTCAAAATCTGAATGGGAAAACAAGGATGCCTAAGAGTTGGCTTTTAAAACATTACATAAAGAAGCTGATAAAAATCAGTAGCTTTATGTTAAGGAAGGAAAAAAAAAATTCTATATAACTTCCATTATGCCTAAGGAATGAAGCACATTAGAGAAGAACTTATATTATGCAGTGTAACTTGTCTGGGCTATGTAAGTGGCCAAGATATTAACTGTTAAATTCCATATTAAAGCACATACTAAAGCCCATCTCCCAAACACAAACCTGTTTTTCTTAAGAGCACCCTGTATCATTAGCAGATGTGCTCCTGACAGCACAGCTGGAATGTATACAGACCACAGACTGCTACAAGAGGCTTTTCTCTGATGCACACTATGAATCCTTCACAAAGATTATCACATGCACAGTGACAGCTAACTCACCAAGGTTACTTAACTAAGTTATGTTCAGCTTACTGAAGCTCTGAAAAGTGGAACACCCACAGAAAGACAGCATGTACCTCAGTGTAAACTGCTCTATTTGGGCTGGTATTACACTGGATGTGCAAAAACCTGCCTATATTATGTTACACTGCATGTACACAATGTAGGACAAAAGCCTATGAAATTAAGATGGATCATCACCTGTAAAAAAACTTGAATTATATTTTATACAATTTTTCCACAGAAGAAAAAGAGACAGCTACCACCATTTCCTTCCACAAGACATTTTTGTCCGTCAACAATATAGCTTAACAGAGAACAGAGAAATCCTAGGTAGCACCAAAATTATAAACTGCACATGTGGACCAGCATAAAAAAACATAAATCAAATATATTGCCTTTACGAGCAAACAGAAAAAATAAATCTGAAGAATGTTCTCACTATTCTCAAAACACTGAATTTCCCTATCTTAAAAAAAAAACCACAATAAAAGTAAAATAACCACAAAAATGAATTCTAAAATACAAGATATTTCTTTTGATTCATGTAAATAAAAGCCATATGCAACAATAATAACCCAAAAAGCCTTAGAAGCAGGACTGGTTCTTCATTCCACAAAAATTTTCTCCTACTATAGCACACCTGCTTGCTTTTAGCTGTTTTAAGTTTATTCTTTTTCTTCTAAGTTCCACACAGTTCTCATCAAAATCCAATCATTACATTCAGACATCAATCTTAATGAATATGTCACTGGATGTTAAAAATCAAATTCTTTCTGAAGGAAATGTCAGTTTTATATTATTAAATAAGTGTTCACAAAGTTTGCAGTTTACTTGTGTGTTCAGATGGATATGTAAATGAATGTAATTAATGCTATAGCTTTCAAATCATGAATATTTATAAACAGAAAATTACCGTAGCTGTCATCCCCATAGGATATTCAGCTGCTAGGCTTTAAGAAAACCTTACACAATGAAAAAAATTGACAATAAAGTAAACATGATTGAAAGCAGGCTGATTTCCATTTCCACCAAATCTACATAGAGTGAGTTTATGTAAAAATTTAGATTTTCCTTTAAGAAGGAATTTTAAAATCATATAAAAGTGATTACAGACTTGGTTTCAATTTCCAGGGATAGCTGGACCTCACTGGGCTGATATTCTCTCTTCCACGAAGGGATGTCTTTCATTTGGTCAATACAGTTAAATAAGGTAATATAAGGTTCATTTAGGATAAGGTCTAGTAAAAGACTGTTCCCTATAAATCAAATTAAATTAAATTACTTTGCTTTTTGCTGTCCTCTCTTAACACAAAATGTAGAATAGGATGAAAATACAATGTATTACTCCAAGAGTGTGAAAAGAGTATATACTGTTCTAGTGATGGATGAAACTTTTACCACTGAGCTCATTTTATAACAGCGCCAAGCTACAAAGGCAATTCTGAAGTGTAAAATAAAACAAGTCAGTATTTTGTCTACTCAGAAAGGTGAGTACAAAGACACTGATTAAAACCAAAGTTGGAAGTTAGGAATGTAATTACAAAGCTTCATCAAAAATATTTCTCATTTGCCTGGATAAACGTTGTGAACACATTTCTGCATCAATTCATTCCACCATTCTCGTCGTCAGGAATCCATAGGAAGACTGTTACCACTAAGGAGGTTTTAGACACTTACTTCATCAGCTCAGATATGTCTAATCACGTAAGGACAACAGAGCAGTAACATTAAGAACAGACCAGACACTGTGTTTCAGACCAAACAAATGAGTGCCTGCCAAATTTGGTGGCCTTCTGTGACAGCATTGGTGGACACGGGAAGAGTAACTGATGTCACCTACCTGGACCTGTGCAAAGCATTTGACTCTGTCCCACACAACATCCTTGCCCCTAAATTGGAGAGACATGGATTTGACGGATGGACCACCCTGTGGATAAACAGCTGGCTGGATGGTTGCACTCAGAGTTGCAGTCAACAGCGTGATGTCCAAGTGGGGACTGGTGACGAGTGGCGTTCCTCAGGGGTCAGTATTGGGACCAGCATTGTTTAACATCTTCGGCAGCGACATGGACCGTGGGATTGACTGCACCCTCAGCAAGTTTGCCAATGAAACCAAGCTGTGTGGTGCAGTCAACACGCTGGAGGGAAGGGATGCCATCCAGAGGGACCTGGACAGGCTTGAGAGGTGGGCCTACACAAAACTCATGAAGTTCAACAACACCAAGTGCAAGGTCCTGCACCTGAGTTGGGGCAATGCCAAGCACAAATACAGGCTGGGTGGAGAATGGATTGAGAGCAGCTCTGAGGAGAAGGCCTTGGGGGTTTTGGTTGACAAGAAGCTCAACATGACCCAGCAATGTGCGCTTGCAGCGCAGCAAGCCAACCTGGGCTGCATCAGAAGAAGCATGACCAGCAGGTTGAGGGAGGGGATTCTCCCCCTCTACTCTGCTCTCCTGAGATCCCCCTGCAGTAGTGCCTTCAGCTCTGGGGCCTCCAACACAAGGAGGACATGGACTTGTTGGAGCGAGTCCAGAGGAGGACCACAAAGATGATCAGAGGGCTGGAGAACCTCTCCCATGAAGACAGGCTGAGAGAGTTGGGGTTGTTCAGCCTGGAGAAGAGAAGGCTCCAGGGAGACCTCATAGCAGCCTTCCAGTACCTAAAGAGGGCCTACAAGAAAGCTGGGGAGGGACTTTTTACAAGGGCATGTAGTGACAGGAAAAGGGGCAATGGCTTTAAACTGGAAAAGGGAAGATTCAGATTAGATATTAGGAAGAAATTCTTCCCTGTGAGGGTGGTGAGGCACTGGAAGAGGTTGCCCAGAGAAGTTGTGGATGCCCCCTCCCTGGAAGTGTTCAAGGCCAGGCTGGATGGGGCTTTGAGCAACCTGGTCTGGTGGAAGGTGTCCCTGCCCATGGCAGGGGGGTTGGAATGAGACGATCTTTAAGATCCCTTCAAACCAAACCATTCTATGATTCTATGAATTTGTTTGAAAGAGAACAGAATGATCAAATCCACCTGTAATAACAGTAACCAAAATACACTCAAAGTCCCATATATGGAAGACTCGCTATGTTCCATATATGACAATTTTTCACTGATACATATCCTAGATTTTGTAGTGGATATAACTGCTTAAAGAAACTTCTTTGCAATATGCAGAAAAACTGAGCTGAGAAATAAAAAGCTTTATAAACACAAGCTTTCCTTTACAGATAGTCTCCTGGGACCCCTCATCCACTGGCAAATATAGGACATCCATGTGGTGAACAAGGCACAGGTGATTTTGTCACTGCACTGCCACTTTATCTCAGACCACCCTGCAGCAGTACTGTTTGTCACTGGCTTCACCAGGGTAGAGAATCTGAATTTCACTTTATGGGAGACAGTGTAGCTTGGAATGGCTGACAAAGGTATTGCTGCCAGCTGCATGTCCTCGTGCCCCAACAGCCCAGATGGCTGAGCTACTTGGGAATCAGTTGCTGAATCACTGCAATTCAGGAACAGCATTTTAATACAACTCATCACCAGCATCAGATTGCCATAAATGCTGAGCTGTAAGATGTGGCCATTCAGTAGTTGATTCCTAAGAAGCTCAGATGTCTCTGTACCAAGAGAGGTGTGGGCAGCTGGGAGGAGAACCCAGCTGAAGCTGGGCTTTGCCCAATTGGGAATCAGAGCCCTCGGATGTCTTGATAGGCACCCTATAAACTCTTAATGCAGACTGAAAGAGAGAGAATTGGAGTTGTTTAGACATTGTAAGAAAATGGGAACCTTCAGGATGAAAAATTGTATTTAACTACTGAGTACACAAAGATGTATTTAGTCAGAACTATGGGATATGCTTATACAAGTTCTTAAGAATTAGATATCCTGCGTCCCTTTGTATATTACAGAGGGAAAGGGAATGTGGAGGCATCCATGGAGCAAAATGCGCTAGTTCAGATGAACACTATTGTATTTTCTTGTAAAGCTTACTCAAGAATGTGCAGCTTTGTATGGAATTGCAATTACTCATGAAGTTCTAACAGTAAAAATAAATAAAAGATTGCACATCAGAAACTTTTAAGATCAGATCCTATTTTTTTGTTTTGCATAATAAACACTAATGTGCAACTGGCCTATGTATTTTGTGATTATGCAACCACGTAATTCACCACGTATGCACAATGTCTTCCTTTCTGAATCTGCTGTGTAACTGTTTCAAGGATTTTCTTGAGTGCACTATCTTTACATTATTAACAGTTGAGTTAATTCCCCTTGAATGACTCTCGTGAGACCAGTCATCTACAAAATGCTTCAGAAAAAGGATTTCCCTAGAATACATCTAGAATGGAATGGAACAGATTAGAATTGAATAGAATGGAATAGAATATTGCTATTAGCAGCACAGCTAAAGTTGCGAGCTTCAATTATCAGCAGTACTTCAGATTTAACCTTAGATGAAGGTTAAGATAAAACTTAATTCACCACTTAACTAGCATTAGACAGATCTGCTTGCAAAAGAAAACCTCTCAGATTCTATGTT